GTGCAAGGTCCTTGGGATAATAAGACATGGGCCATACCTTCAAGGAGTTGGTTCCAGAAAACCACAGAATGGGCTACCTCATATGTGTATGGTAAATGTTCAACAAATATTCTATTGAATGAATCAACAAATAAATTGAATAGTAGATCCTAGTACATGTCAGTTTTTCCTCCATTTTTCCTATATCCCTCATTGTATTAGTCCACTCATTGCTGTTACTAAAACACCTGACAATAATTTAGAGGAGGAAAAGTTGGAGAAAGATAATTTCTGGTTTTGTGATGATGATGATGATTAGTATTATTAATTAAGCCAATCCCCAAAAAGCTGAGAAACAGGCTTAATCAGACAGATTAAGCAACTTACAACGTTTTCTCAGTTCCCAGGAGGCTCAGTGGAAGAATGCACGCCTGGGCTGTGTGAGGCACTGGGTTCAATCCTTGGCACCACATATAAATAAAAATAAAGATATTGTGTCCACCTAAAACCAGATAATATTTCTTTAAAAAAGAATCCTATGATCATCTCAATAGATGCAGAAAAAGCATTTGACAAAATACAGCACCCCTTCATGTTCAAAACACTAGAAAAACTAGGGATAAGAGGAACATATCTCAACATTGTAAAAGCTATCTATGCTAAGCCTCAGGCCAACATCATTCTAAATGGAGAAGAATTGAAGGCCTTCCCTCTAAAAACTGGAACATGACAGGGATGCCCTCTTTCACCACTTCTATTTAACATAGTTCTTGTAACACTGGCCAGAGCAATTACACAGACAAAAGAAATTAAAGGGATACGGATAGAAAAAGAAGAACTAAGTTAGCACTATTTGCTGATTAAGTGATTCTATACTTAGAAGACCCAAAAAATTCTACCATAAAACTTCTAGAACTAGTAAATGAATTCAGTAAAGTAGCAGGATATAAAATCAATACCCATAAATCAGAGGCATTTCTGTACATCAGTGACAAATCCTCTGAAAAGGAAACAAGTAAAACTACCCCATTTACCATAGCTTTAAAAAAATAGAATACTTGGGAATCAACTTAGCAAAAAGAGGTGAAAGACCTCTATAATGAAAACTACAGAATGCTAAAGAAAGAAATTAAAGAAGGYCTTAGAAGATGGAAAGATCTACTTTGTTCTTGGATAGGCAGAATTAATATTGTCAAAATGACCATACTACCAAAAGCACTGTACAGATTTAATGCAATTCCAATCAAAATCCCAAAGACATTCCTCATAGAAATAGAAAAAGCAACCATGAAATTCATCTGGAAAAATAAGAGACCCAGAATAGCTAAAGCAATCCTTAGCAAGAAGAGTGCAGCAGGTGGTATCACTATACCAGACCTTAAACCATACTACAGAGCAATAGTAACAAATTCAGCATGGTATTGGCACCAAAATAGACTTGTAGACCAACGGTACAGAATAGAAGACACAGAAACAAACCCACATAACTACAGTTGTCTTATATTAGACAAAGGCTCCAAAAACACGCATTTAGTTTTTATATCTGCTTAATCTCTAGTCTGTAACAGCCCCTTAGTTTCTGGGTCTTTCATGAATTTGACACTTTTGAAGTATATGGTGGTAGGGAGAGTTCTGAAATTGCTCCTAACACTTCCACTTCTGGGTCTATATACCATGTATACACCCTGAGTGCCAGCAGAACCTATGAATATGATGTATCTCACTCCTTTGATTACATCACCTATTAATTTGACTTTGACTTATTATATGGGAGATTATTTGAGTGGGCCTGATCTAATCAGGTGAACCCTTAAAAATGACTTGGCCCCTCCTAAAGTCAGACAGCTTGCTTACAAGTGTGACTTGATCTACAAGAGGTGGTCCCATGGCAGAGATCTAAGAATAGCTTCTAGGAGCTGAGAGAGGTCCCCAGTAGCCTATACCTATCAACAGAATGGGACCTCAATTGTACAGCTGCTAGGAAACAATATCTACCAACAACCCAAGGGAGTTTTAAAAAGTACTTTTCTCTAGATGAGCCTTCAGGTGTGAATACAGCTGGCTGACACCTTGATTTTAGCCTTGTGAGGCCTTGAAGAGGGGACTTGGTTAAAATATGTTGGACTCTAGACCCATGGGAATTATGAAATATTAAATTGTTAATAAATTCATGATGACTTCTTATGTAGCAATAGAAAATTAATACAAATATTACATCAGTTATTTGTAGAATGTCCTTCAATATGGATTTGTCTTGAAATGAGCCAGGAGCATCTTATGTGTCATTTCATATTTTCCTTGCTTCAGGTCTGAAAATAACCATTTTTGCAGGGGTAATTGGTTCCTGAATGATGTTTAGATATGGTGTAGGTGTGTTTGCTTCTAGGATGTTGTTGGTTTTAGATCCTCTCAGAGGACAAAGCTAGGTAACTTATTATTATAACCCATACATATTTACATTTCTATATTTCTATATTGATCTATCTGTATACTTTAAAACCATGAGTTTTATATGGATACCTCTGATTCCAATTCAATATTGCAAGGTTAATCTTAGCTTTTTCTATTCCCTTATTTATAACCTCCTTCTCCACAGTGAAAAACCCAGCAACAGTCTATTCACTCCTTTGTGTTAACTGTGTGTGTGKGKGGGGGRGGGTTATATTTCAGGAAAAGTTGTTTCCATAGAATGGGTGGGACAGAGTGATCTTCCACCCCACTTGAGAGGTAGGTCCCTGCATTGATTCTCCACTCTCTGCCTCCTCCTGAATCCCACCCCAATCACCTAACTGCAAACTAAATGAAACTTGAGTTCTCTGCCTTCCAATTTAAGAGCTGGGTGCTCAGGCCTGAGGTAGAGTAACTGGAACCTAACATAAACCTCTGCTTTCTGCTCAGACCAAAAGGAAGTCTTCTTGGAGTGAATGTCTTTTACAATACTAGCACTAGTTGTCACCTCCAATGTTGTTTGAAGTTTGAAATAAAATGATATGACACTTTTTAATTTTTTATTTAAATGCTAACACCATAACTTAAGGGTTTTTGAATTGATTGTTTTTTATACATTTATTTATTTGTTTATTTATTTTCATGTGGTGCTGAGAATTGAACCCAGTGCCTCACACCTGCTAGGCAAGTGCTCTACCACTGACCTATAACCCCAGCCCCTTGAATTGGTTATTGACCATCCAGAAGTCACTGAGTCCCAGCCGATTCTAACGCGTGTTTCCATACTTGCTGAATGCATCCTACACAGACATTGATAGTTAACCTCTGTATTCTTACCAAAGACTGAGTACCCCTCATGAACATTTTCTGTGAAACTCAAATGAGGGAATCCATAGGTAAGTGCTTAAAAACTATGCCACACTAAGTAAGCTGAAGAGCGCTGGGTTGTGTCTGCAGCAAGACAGTCTGAACTCTGCTCACTCTGAGGTGCACTTCAGAAGGCAGAAGTAGTCCAAAACAGGGATGGTGACACYGCTATTGTGAATGTGAATGGGTGGCTAACAAGAAGGATATCATGGAATCTATTAAAATACGAAGAGTCTTTAAAAGCATTCATTCATTCATTAAACAGCTATTTTCCACCTGTCTTACTAACCCACCTGGAAGTAAGCAGTACCACCTGAGGAGGTTTAGAATAAGAGTATGATGCCAGACCAGAGCAAAGAATACAATAAAAGCAGCCATTTCTTCAAGACCGCCTGTGAGCAAGGTACTGTGTTAGGAGTTTTCTACATAGTATCTTACTTAATACAAACAATCATCTGGACTATCAGAAAGTTAAAGGAAATTGTCTAAGGTCAAATAGCTAGTAAATGCAAGAGTCAAAACTAAAATCCAGGTCTGCCTGAAAGCCAACGCTCATGCTCATTTCCGCTAAAGTGAAAGCAATCCATTCTCTGAAGAAATATTTATTGAGTGCCTCTTTTGTTCCAGACATTATTCTGGGTGCTAGTGATATAAAAGTGAAGGGGAAAAAAGTCCCTGTAGCATAGTGTTCATGTTGTCCTGGGAAAATAAATAAATGAAAAACAAATATTTAGTATGTCAGGTGGTGATTAAATAGGATAGGAAAGATGGGGCCAGGTTGGGTTGCTGTCTTTACTGGAATGATCAGGGACATCTCTGACAATGTGAAGTAAGTGCAGATCTAAAAAACACGTAGAAGAAATAGAACTGGCATAAAGACAACTTTCCTTCTTTGCCTACTGTGGGTTCAGTTTGGAAAAAAGGAAGAGATAAGATACAGGTGTTTGTGGAAGCATGGACCTGGAGTCAGAAGACTTTTTATTTTATTTTATTTTATTTTATTATTTAAATGCTAACACCATAACTTAAGTGAGTTTTAGTCTAGGTGATTTATTGGCAAATCATTTCACTTTTGAGCCTAAATTCTCTTAATTGTAGCCGGGAACGACAGTCCTTGCCCAGCTTCCCACACGCAGCCACTACGAGGATCAGATGAGACAACCCATGTGAAAACTCTCTAAAAATGATACAAGTTGGAAATCAGGGTCAGAGGTCAACTCTTCACGCGAAAGGCAGTGTGAGTGGGTAAGTGAATTAAAGGTGTCCTTATTTTAGGATGCCCSTTTCCCCAGGCATCTTTTTGAAAAGTCGCCCAAATGAGAAATGAAATAAAAGAACTAATAATAAGTTTCATAACAGGTATCTGCTGAAGACCCCTATTTAATGTAATACTGGTCAAAAATTGCATCATGTGTTTCAACTAAACTAAGAAAGAAGTTCTGAGATTGGAATCTTGTAACTCTAATTGCCACGCCCCATCGTAGCCTTTTTCTTTTCGCCGCGCCCCTCCCTCTGAACTCCATTTCCCCACATGCCCCGGGCTCCTCTCAATCAGCCGACTTTGTGACGCAATCCCGCTGCCTTCTGGGAAATGTAGTTTATTCGATCTCCGCCTGCGGAAAGATCTTAGGGCTTGCAGACTACCACTCCCGTGAGGTTGTGCGCAGCCCCACCCCGTTCGCGGCGTCTTCGAACGTGCCGCGGCAGCCATGTTGGTCGTGGCCAGCACAGGGGCCGGCACCAGGGGGTTATTGAAGCAGCTGTCATGATGCTGGGGTTCCTGGTGTTGAGGAGAACGGCGCCGGCGCCGCAGCTCCTCCTCCGGCTGCTCAGGTCCGCAACGCTTCAGAGCCACGGAGGTGTCTCCGGCCAGAGCGTAACCACCAGGGGACGCGGGGAGCCGCAGTGGCTGAGAGCGGCCGCCGGGGGGCSCCCCGGAACATCTTCGGCATTACCACTTGGTCGAGGGGCAGCCACCTGGGGGCGCCGGGGAGGATGCACCGAGAACCAGCTCCTGTCTGCTGCCCCCTGTGGACGCCTACCTATCCCCGAAGAAACCCTCCCGGGACAGGACAGCTGGAAGGGTGTCTCTAACAGGACCGGGCTGGGCATGTGGGCCCTCGCCACAGCACTGGTGGTTCACTGCTACAGCAAGAGTTCGTCCAACAAAGGTGATTATGGGGCCAGGTTCAAGGAAGGGAGATGCGGGAGGAGTGTCCTGATCCGCATCTTTGGAGGGTGGAGTTACTTATCGATTTAGACCTGCATATCTTCAGTCTTGGAAGGACCCARACCAGACATCATCTGATTTCAGGGGCAGGGTGTTGCATTGGAGAGCTCACCAACTCGGAATTCTATAATCTCCCCTCATAGGTCAGCCTCCTCTCTTTGGGCATCACTTTGTCTATCTGTACAATGGGGGCATTGGACTAAACATMTGATTACAGCATGGTCCTTTTGTGCGCTGATATTGTGTCTTCCAAAACGTCTCCAGAAAGCCACAAGCAGTTTTAAGGGCAAGAACTAACTGCTGTAAAGAAGTTGTCTGCCTACAATGGCCCGAGAAAGGAAGAGACTTGATTCCAGTGCCAGTTTGATCCCTTACTCCTTTCTGGCCTCACTGACTACACCTATAGTGAAGGATGATTTTTCAGTACTTAGAGTAGTGTTATTTTGACTCCTCCTGGAGTGTGGTGGCATTAGTCTTTTAGGGTTTTGCTGTACCTGTTCTCAGACTTGAGTCAATCTTGCCGTGTGGGGCAGTTGGCAGAAGAAGGAAGTTGGATTCCTGGAGACCAAGAGCAGTGGGGTTGTCAATGTGGTTGACCCAGATTGGCCTCTCAGCTGGGTTCATGGAGCTAAGCAGGGGCCGGGAGAGTGGGTGAGGAGCCAGACTTCTCGCCTGCCTGAGCCCAACCACTCTAGTTCTCAGTTGTCCTTAAGAAAGGTACTGAGGCACGTTGTCCATAGATTCATTCCAAACTCTGAGACCTTGGAGCAAAATTGGGGACTGCCTGGACTTACATTTGTTTATTCAGTAGGATGTGACAACTATAAAGGAAGTGTTTTGAATAGAAGGGAGGACACTAGGGATCTTGTTTGGGGTCTAATTCTTCCCTTCATGAATATGAACTCTTGCTCCTTCTCATTGGACCTCTCTACAAAATAAGGGCATTAAAATAGACTCTAAGGGCTCTTCTAGCTTAGGCAGCTACGATTCTGTAACTTGTCACAATTTTGGGTGATACCTTCTTGTTCCTAGTTTTGAGCGAGGTATATGGTAAGTTCTAATTTAACATGAAAGTCAGTTAAGGGGATGGTGCAGGTAGTTCAGTGTACAGAGCTATTGAGTGGTGTTATGTGTTGTTGGAGGAGCAGAGGGCTAGCAGGGCCAGGAAAGCTTGCAGGATGAGGCGGGGGATGAAAGAAAAAGAGAGTGACAAGGTAAGCCCCTTGAGAATAGGGAATGCATTTTACCTTCTTTTTCAGGTTGATACTACCAAGTTTTTCTAACACCTATGTGTTATTTGCCCACCAGTGTCTGGAACTTAGTGGCTACTTAGTAAATGTGTCTTGAGTTGGGTTGTATTCCATGCAAAGGCTTTCGCCAGTAGTTGGTTGCCAGTAGCTAGCAGTGGCAAGTGGGTGGAGGATGAGGTTTTTGGAATGAGGTGAGAGCAGATGGAGGGATATGGATTGGTTTGGGATTCTTCTGTATGCTATGGAGAGCCATGGAAGTTTGCTAAGCAGGGAATGTCCAGAGGCCAGTGTGTTTAGATGAACTGGAGGAAAGTAACTAGAGACTTGCCTAAGAAGTTCTTGTGAATTTCCCCAAGAAAACTCAATAATAATCCAAATCATGAACAATTCCAACCCTTCTGACTTGCCAGCTACCTCGTCCCCTGACTCAGGGTTTTGAGCTAAATCCCTCAGAACTGTGTAGTAGAACTGGACCCTTCAAAAGCCAGGAGGCCCTGGTTTTAATTGGCACATTTCTTACTCACTCGGACTTTGGAGAAGCTATTTTTATCTGCAGAGCGAGGGGAGAATGGGTAGAGCCATCTTTGAGAAAGGGGTATTTTCCTTCTAGCTGGAGACTGTCTGAGCATAATTTGGTGTGTGTTTGAAGAACAGTCATATAAGGTAAGGAGGAAAGACCTGGCCCTGAGATGTAGGCCAGGAGGTAGGTGAAGGCATCAGTGTCTGAAATGGTTTTCATATGTATGATAAGGTGGGTATCTTATCTCTTACGCAGATAAGGAAACTGAGGCTCAGGATAAACAATAATTGTTGGAACTGGAACTAGAGCCCGGATCTTGTTTCTCCCACATCTCACTAGCTGACTGTGACTGGATAGAGAGCTCCTGAAGTAGGGCTGGGTAGGAGTCAGTCCACTATCTCAGAACTAGGCTGGGCACAGAGGGCTCCATGGGGCATTTAGTATTGGACTGTTTGAAAGAGTTGTGCCTTTACTGTTGACTTTTGAAATTTTCCAAGTCTGGCAGTTCTTCCTTGTGGCCACAAGGTGATGCCAACAGCCTGCCAGCTGCACATTGCTGTTCTTCTAGGCCTGGTGAGTCGAAGGTTCTGACTCCTGTGCTTTGGGCTTTCCTTCTCTGAACTTGGCCCCAAAGAGTTTGCAGACTTTTTAACCATCATTTTGTCTCAGCATCTTTGTGAGACTGGCATGGTAAAGATTATTGTCTCTGCTTTGTAGTCTGGGAACCTGTGGTTTTTAGAGAAAGGGGCACATGGTAAGTAGATGGTGAATAGGTTGGGGCGAGGTCTCAATGATTCCTAGTTGAGGCTTTCTCCATTTGTAGAGTGGCCTACACCCTTGCCTGTCGCTGTCCATTCTCTTCCCTCCCTTTGGTTTGTGACCTGTGACATCAAGATTCAGAACTAAGAAATAGGGAAAGAGTGAGACAAGGTCAGGGAATAATAACAACCATAGTAATAGAAAATACACTTTCACAGAGTTTTAGAGCTATGAAGAGCAGCTCATTTTTATTCTAAGTATTTATCCAGGTGAGGTGTGGAGCTAGCAGTTTACCTACATCCCCTGTGTGGTGGGAGCAGTGGAGAGTTCGGGCTCCCTTAGAGAAAGGTATGGAAGTCAGATTRCTAGCAGTGGAGCCCAGGTGGGGAGGGATGATGAAGCAGCCCTGAGGAGAAGGTCCTGGCCAGCCATCTGATCAGCGCCCCCTCTCTCTTCAGATGCAGCCCTGATGGAAGCTGCCCGTGCCAACAATGTTCAGGAGGTCAGCAGGTGAGTGTTGGCCCCCAGGCCTTGCTCTCCCCCAAAGAGGGGCCGAGCAGGTGAGCCCCTTCCCCATGTGATGACTTTGCCTTGGAAGAAGTCCTCACTCTTAAGCTGTGAACTGTCCCCTGTGATTTCCCTGTAGCATCAGAGTCACCTGAACTCCCTTGGCCCAGGGTCAGCCTTTACATATTTTAGGTAGGGAGGAAACTCCCAGATATCCCTGAGTCTTCTGCAGGGATTATTTAGACTCCCCTCCACATCCTGTGGGTCCTTCTCTGGATCATCTGGTTTGTTTTGTTCCTCTGTGGAAGGGGCACATGTTACTGCTTGTTGCCTGGATGGGGTGCAGGTGGGCACCCATGGAGAGAGGCTTGTGGATTTAGAAGGAAGCTGGAAGACACCTTTGTGCCAGAGGCCCTGGGGCTAGAAAGGCCTGTCTTCACTCACGGCTGGGGTGCCCATGTTGGGTCCTGCCAGGGGAAGACTGCCGTTCTCCAGCCTCACTGATTCAGCTAGTCCTTTGGGGCCATGAAGTTTTGTATTTGAGGTTTGTCTTGTTTTTAAGCACAGGGACAGAACTCAACTCAAAGCTCATTCTGGTGCCAGGGACAAGGCAGAATCTGTCCTGGATAATGCTGAGCCTGGGGACAGCATAGAGTGTGTCAGCTAGGGGCCACTGGTTGAAGAAACTACTGACCCCTTCTGTCCCTCATCTTGACCTCTTTTGTCCCTTTGAGTAGATTTGGGTGGCCATAGGACACCCCCTTTTCTCCTACCATCACATCCAAATCTTAGGAAGTTAGATGTTTGGGGCAACTATCCCTGTACCCCAGTACCACTGTCACTTGGTGCTCTTCCCACTCCAGCAGCTCGAATATATAAGAGAGTGCTGAAAGGCAGCCACGGCCCCTCCAAGACTTACTGCTTTGATTCCCTTTCATTTTATCTGCAGCATTATTATTGATTCTCAGGGGTGCTTTTGAGTATTAATGTTCAAAGCTTAGTTTTTAATAAACCACTTTTGAAAGTATGGGCTGGGAGTTGTTTTGTAGCCAAATAAATATGATGGAGCAATAGTTTAATAAACATGCGATGATGCATCTTAAAAAACCAAGCACAGATGTCATCTTGATATTATAAGAGCCATTCATAACTGCAGGCTGTGTGTGGCATCTCCATTCCCCCAGAAACAAATGAGCCCTGCTTCATTCTGCCGCAATAGAAGGGAAACAAGGGGGTGGAAACTGGTCCTTGCTGACCCTGGAATCACCTGTTGGTAGCTGCAAGGTGCCTGCTTCTCCCTGGCTAGCCCAGAGAACTCTTCTGGATATTCATTCTTGCTGGTGTGGACAGTGTCTCTTGGGCCCTTTCATGGAGGTCCCCGGTCTCTATCTTGCTTTCCTCCCTCTTGTTCCCCAACTCCCTTGGTCAGGCTGACTTGGTCAGAATCTCCCTTCACTGCGTGTGAGGAAGTCTGAGATGAGTGAGACACCGACCCTACCTGCAGCCCCTATCTCACACAGCACCACAGAGCAGGGACAGACTGAGCAAAGGCAGAGGCAGGCGAGCCTGGCTGCCTGCTGGGCCAGGGGACTCTGTGGTGCAGGGTGTGGGGAAAGAGGGAAGGTGACTTGAGAGAGGCTGGAATGTGCACAGCCTGCCCTGTCCAGGTTGAGGGTTTTCAGACCCTCAGTGGGGAGACATGGGAGTTTTTGAGCAGGGGACTGACCCTGCTTGGTTAGGACTGTTTCCGAGAGCTAAAGGATGAACTGAATGGGGAAAAGCTGAAGACAGCTCTGTGGAGAGACAGTTTTAATAAGACAGATTCAAGGTGATAAAGGCCTGAGAGCACATTGTTCCTGCCTCACCAAAGCAGTTCTTGCTTCTGAAAGAATTGAGTTGACGTCTGCTGGGCACTATAGGTGGTGTGGGGTGAGGGTGGTAATCTGGCTGTGGTCTCAAACAGACAAGTAACCCACCAATTACAGTTCTTCCTGCTAACAGAGCAGGTGTTGGAAGACGTAAGTATAGGGATGGCCTGACCATCCTCACTAGAAGGAAACCTTAAGTTTTACTCAGCCTATCTGTGCCCTAGACTCTGCACAGTTGCTTCTTGCAGCTACTTATTTGTTCCTCTGTGCCCTGACCCTTAGCTCTGCCCATTAGATTGGCCTATAGTGGAATAGAATTTTTTTTTAATTTACACATGATTGAGACACCATATATATGATTGGTATGGTCATTGATTCAGTATTTGGAATAAAAGAAGGATCTAGTGAATAATATTCTACTCTTTCCATGCTGTCTTGGGATTCTTGCTGTGTATGTCTCTGTTCTGACCTCCATCATCTCCTTTCTTCAGTCCAGAACCTCAGGAGAGCTCTGGATAGGCACTGTTCAGGAGGAAGTGCTTCATCCTCCTCTTTAGAATACTCAAAGAGTCTATAGTCCCTGTGCCCTGGACGTAGGACCTTCACACAGCATCTCTGTGCTCAGTGATCATCTGCCTGAGTTCTGGCAGCCTTGAAGGCTCAGTTCAGGTGTTGCCTCTCTGTTAAACCTTCCTGGATTCCTCTCAGCTGAGTGTTATATTTTCCTTCCCCTACTCTACCATTCCCTCTGATCTGGAAGACTATGAGGGTTGGATAAAAAGGGCCATGCCAGTATGTAGCAGGAGGGCAATCTAGAAAAGAAGTTGGAGGTCAGGGTGGAGGGGCAGGGCTGAACATCAGGATTGAGGGGTAGATAGTCCACACAGGAAAACTAATGAAGTCCACATGCTGACTTAATCAGGAACTGATCCCAGATCCTCACAGAGTGTGTGACCATCAAGCCAATCTTCTGATACTGGCACTGATATGTAGGCACCATTGACTTGCTTTATGTSAATCTGGCTAATGATGTGTGGGGTTGGCAGAACCTACCACTCACAACACTTTGTTAAGAGTTTCATGGGCTACATTTTACTTTTAACCACAGGATTGTGTTTCTCACCATGGTAGGAACAAAAGTCTGGTGCCCTAAAAGTCTGTTTTACCATATGTGCTAGCACAGGAGAACTCAATTGCTTTACTCATTTCAGTGTAACTGAAGCGAGAGGTCCTTACTCCCACTGGTTGCCTCCCCATTGGTTTCATGAAAGGGAGTCTGGGTCTCTTTGCCCTTTCTCCTTCCCTCCCTCCCTCCTCCCTGAGGCACTTAAACTTTGTAAGTTCATCCAGTCCTGGCACTTCAGAAGTGGAAGCCTGGCCCCCATCCTACCTGTTGACAGTGAGCAGGTGGCCCTGCTCCTGGGCTCAGCCCAAACCTGAACCTGGTTTCTGAACTGAAGAGCCACTCACCCGAAACAGAGGGCACATCTGTCTGGGCTCAGGCTGAGCCATTTGAGGACTCCTCTTCTCCAGTGGAGATCACATTTCCTTCTGATCAAACCAGTGAAAAACAACATTCCTGCCTATTTTCTTCTACTAGCAGTGGAGAAGCTGGGCTTCTGCTAAGTAGCTAACTCAGTTGTTTATCAGCCCAGCCTCTGATGAAAGAGACTTGGTGGTATCAGTCTTGGACCTCTACCCTCTGCCCTTTCTCTCCATTTGTTCATCTGATAAACATTTGCTGAGCATTTACCATATGTTGGGTCCTCTCCTTGGCACAGGGGATACCCAAGCAGGCATGACCTCAGTAACAGATCCTTTGGCAAAAGTGTGATCTGTGCTACAGACAGGAAAGTGCAGGGACTGCTGCAGTGCAGAGGTGTCCCTAATCAGCCTGGGGGGTTAAGAAAAGCTTCCTTGAGCAAATGGCACATGATCTTAAAATATCAACAGTGTTCAGCAAATAGAGGGGGAAAGCATTCCGAGCAAAAGGGACAGGACCAGTGGTAGCACCAGGGCAAGGAACAGCCAAGGGATGTGTGGGAAGGGGAAATTGTGCATTGTTTGCCACAAGATCACAGTCTGAGGCTGAAGGGACTGGAGATAGGTAGGGATCGGGTCATGAAGGGCATYGATTGACTGGACCTCAGTTGCCCACATGTCTAGCGTGTTCTCTGTGCCTACCCCTGTGGTGAATTGGGCAGGGTAGGGGGTGGGGCACAGCAGTGAAGAAGGAGAACCAGTTCTGCCTTTGAGAAGCTTAAGTCTCTCTTGGTAAGAAAAGAGGACATGAGTAAAAAATTGTGAACAAGCAAAGCAAAGCACAAAATGCCTGACTTGTATGAGTCTAAGTCATGTGGAGATGATAATAGCTAGAACCTGTGAATTGTAAAGTTATTATTACTAGTAATTATTAATTTATGCAACCAATGTCAATGAGTGCTTGTTAGGAACTAGGTGTTGGCTGAGTGCTGAAGACACAGTAGTGAACACGACCAGTACAATCCTTGTCCTATTGGTACTTACAGTCCAATTGGGAGCCAGAGGACTCTAAGTATGTACTTCAAAAGTGAAATAAAGTTTATCTTTTCAGTAAATGGTACAGGGACAACTGAGTAGGCATATGCAAAAGACTCTTCTCAGGTGGAGATCACATTTCCTTCTGACCAAACCAGTGAAAAACAATACTTAGGTAAGCTTAAATCTCCCTTGATAAGAAAAGAGGACCCTAATATCATATGTAGAAATGAACTCAAAACAATCATGCAGCCAGAGACATGAAAAATTGTGTTCCAAATGTGTACTGTGAATTGAAATGCATTCTGCTGTCATGTATAAAAAATTAGAATAAATAAATAAATTTAAAATTTAAAAAAAGATTCATGGAGCTAAATGTAAATGCTAATGCAGTAAAACTCTTAAAAGAAAACATAGAATTAAATCTTTGTCACTTTGGGTTAGGCAAACCTGCCTTAGATATGGTATCAAAAGTACAAGCAACCAAAGTGGGGAAAAAAATTGGACTGCATCAAAATTTAAAACTTATGTGCTTCACAGGCTAACATCAAAAATGTGAAAAGAAGGCTGGGGCTGTAGCTCAGTGGTAGAGCACTAGCCTTGTACCTGTGAGGCACT